TACGATACCGGCACGTGTAGGCGTAGTATGTATCACGCATGCAGGTGTACATGGGATGACTATTTTGCACATGAGACGAAAAATAGAGGAAAGTGCATAGGTCAACGGATTTTTTTCTTCGTTATTTTTTCGCTGTTATGCTTCATGCTTTTTGCGCGTGGAAGGAGAAGAAGGTTACAAGCTGAATTTCAACATTAATTTCCAAAATGTCTAAACACGATACCAAACCACATACAGCACCACACACAGCACCCACGAGATCAACGCCCCATATCCATCTAATGTACACCCACCCATGTCTTACCCTACACCACCCCACCCTAAAAATCAACCAATTCAACAAGTACATTACACACGCCATCCGCCCAGACCGAAAACGCCTTTTCCCTCAGCACACTATACCAATCATCCATGGTGTGAATTTCGCGCCACCCCTTCGAGCCCAAGGATTTAATAATGTAGCGGGGTAAATGGAGAGGCTTGTTATTGACGGCAGCAATCTTAGTGTTGAACATAGTGTTGTGAGTAACTGCAGAAGTTGGCGTCGGAAGAAAACTTGACGGATCCTCGGTTGATGGAGGATGCGTACCCGATGTGGTTGACCAAGCTTCGCCTGTCGTGTTGGACTCCTCGCGATGCACATGCTCAGCTTGTAGCGCGTTCGCTGCTGCAGCCAGTCCGCGCAGGTTCTCGGTTCCGGGTTCGCCTTCTTTACACGCGGGTGTAGTTTTGAGCTCAGGGCATTTGTCTTGGGCTCTTTGTAGTAGTTCATTGACGTCCCTTGTGAAGTCGATGTAGTCGTAAAAGGCCAAATGTGCTCGAGGTTCAGCGGCGATGCGCTTCTCGTCGAGCTTGGTGCCTGGTCTGCTCCCACAAGAGGCAAGCACAAGGAAGATGTTGATTCGCGAAAGGTTTGGCTCGATAGGGTTATCTGTGAGCAGCTGCACAGGTTAGCTATGTAAGTAATGTAAGGCTTGGAAATACTCCACTTACCTTCAAACTCGACTGTACAGGTGTGCTAATATCTGTCTTTTGTTTCAAATCTGCGAACCCTTTTTGTTTCCGCACAGTATATGGTAGAGAGGAAGTAGTGACTCCATTTTTCGGCGAAGTCGGTGATAAATGCTGGAGCTGGTGACTGAGATTGGGATCGTAAGCTGGTTGCAAGGGCTGCTCAACCCCGTTCCCATGAACGTCCGCAGCTTCCACACTATCCTCGTCTTTCTTCTTAGCACCACCCTTCCTTGTCTCGACCGCATATTGTCGCTGTCGCTCGTTTGTGACCATGCGTCTCATGAGGGGAGTAACAAGACTAATAATCTTGTTGCCATCCCTCGGCCATGTCAGTCTATCACCAATACCAGGCGTCTTCTCTTCCCCCAAAGCACGTGCAGCCTCTATAGTATCCCTCTTCCCCGGCTTCTCGACATGCTCCCCAAAGAACTGCTCCCCCACTCCATTATTCAGAAAGTCACGGACGCAATTGAACAGTCGCAGCTTAACCATATCGGTATCGCCTTTGCCACGGTTTCCCACACAGGTCTGCCGTTCAGGATGTGACTTGTCGAGCATGTAGGATTTGGCTAGGGATTGGAGTTGTAGGAAACTCTCCGGGCTGAGCTGAAGGGAAATGAAGAGCTTCGACATGGGAGGACGGGTGTACTTGCGGGCAGTCTTTTCGGAAGAGCGACGGAAGAGAGCAGCGGCGGAATGCACACCTGCAGCGCGTGCATCATTCAGCAGAGTCTCGCTGGAAGGCAGGACACTGCTATCAGCAGAGTTGCCCCGACTGTCCCGATCTCCGTTTTGAAGCTGTGGGTCCGTAAGCTCACCAACTCTCCGTCGTTTGGTGTACACAGGGTCCTGGTCATGATGGGAAACATCCTCAGGAGAATGGGTGACCCTTTTTCTCTTGCCCCGACCCTGTGTCTGAGTACTTTCTGGTACCGAACTGTCAAGATCCATAGCCTCGGCAGCTTGGCCTGCAGCTGTTGCAGCTTCCAGCAGCTCAACCAAATTATGATTTTCCTCCATTGTATGATCGTCCGTTGTCTGACGAGCAGTATGTGCAGCGTATAAATGTGGGTTGAGATGATGGTCAAGCGGTGACGCGACAGCAGCGGGGCCAGAGAGGTCATATTCGTCTTCTGCAGTCACGAATTGGGGCTGTACAGCGTTTGCATTGTTGGGCGTGGTGATGAACTGGCCGGAGCGCATCTGGTAATATGGTGCGTTTGCCGCCATCGTGGCTCGTATCCCCCGAGATCAGACGGATTGTAGGGTAGGGGTCAAACAAGGCTGTGTAGAGTCGGATGAATGAGCTGCCAATGCACCAATGTAAGTGTCTGGATCAGGACGTGAGAAGAAGTGATTCTATGCAAGTTGGATTGGGATGACTCGGTCAGACATGCCGTCGAGAGTAACATCGAAGCTCTTTTGTATGTAGCTTCCCACAAGGTTTGGTTTGACATCGAAGCAGATACATGGTTTGCGGTTTGAGCGCTGGACGGCACTGTTTGCGATTTGTTCAAGAAAGTAGAGCATGGGTTGATCCGAGGGGAAGAGGGCAGAGCGCAGTTTGTCCCATATCGGGCGTGGAATTTGGCACAGAGGGGCAGACGATGAGGATCCTGGGCTGGTTTGACACGCAAGAGTAGAAAATAGACCAGCAGACGATTGCGCACCTGACTTGGGATGCTGGCGTTTGCTGTCGTGTGTCAACGACAAGCGGCCGACCAGCGGGCCAAGGTCTGTCGCGGCGGGGATGGGCGTGCGTGCGTTTGGTTGGTTTGTGTTGTTTGGATCGTGACGCGCGAACATGTGACTCGACGGCACTGGGCGATTAGCTAAGCCACCCAAATATGCACCACAACAAGTTGATGGGCAGGGAAAAAGGCAGGTATGGCGATGCATGACATTCACGAACCTTGCACATCAAAGCAAAGCTGAATTACAGATTTTGATAGTGTATGTTAGGTCTAGCAATCTACAGCATCATATGCAACGGACTCCAAACTCCAGGGATATCTTATAAATCAAAACTAAAAACCATCACCCTCTTTCCATTCCCTCCCCGCTTCCAAAGCTCGATTCCGCGGATCCTGTCCCCGAATCTCCGCCTCATGCTTCAACTTATCTAATATAGGCTGCAATCGATTGATTTCCTTCATGTACTCCTCCGACTCGCCTGGTTGAGGTATTTCGAGCGTCTTCAACGCCTCCTCGTCACCGTTCCTCCGGGCATCTTCTATGGCAAAGCTTTTCTCATCCCATTCCTTGAGCCTTTCTCTCTGGTCGTTGAATTCGGTCTGAAGAGCCAAGAAGTTTGCATATTCCTCTTCGCCACCAAAACATGCCCCATACTGATCACAGAGACAAATGTGTTCCTTGGGACAGTTTATATTTTGGCCCGTGAAAACAAATTGCCAAACATATTCCCAGATGCGACCGCTGAGATAGTCGGGCAGTTGCGTGTTGAACATCCAATCGCGGTACCAGACGTATTGTGCATATGGCCTTGCTTGTATGCGTTCTCTCGAAAGGGCAAACTGGGCGCAGCATGGTTGCGCAAGGACGGTGGGTACCTCGTCGAGAGGGAAGAGCTCACTCCAGGACTTTGCGAGGAGTACCTCTTCTGGCTTTTGGCCGTCGACGTTTGTAGCGCCAGGATGCATCCAGGCCGGGCAACCAGGTTCCCACTTGCACCTCATATTTACATAGCCTTCTCTCCAGACGCGCGGTCGACTAAGTCGAGTTACGAGGAGATGTGCGTCCTTCTCGAGCATGTCGTCGTTGTGCCATGCCAACTGATGCGCGTGCATGAAAATGGCGACGTCGGGGAGGTTATCGTAGTTGTCAATGATCCATGACAAGTAAATCATGACTTCGTGGCCCTTATTCTTCGGAGGGTGTAACGGGGCGGTCGGGTCGTCGGCGACATAAATAGCCGTTTCCTGCTCCGGCATCAATTCTCGTATCCAATCCACATTCTCCTTTTTCGTCTTCGCAATAACCAGAGTCGACGTGTAATTATGGCCAGCTGGCATTGGCGAGCCTGACTTGAACACGGGCTTGGGATTCCAATTCGCATAGTCCGGATCGCTGTTTTTGCCTTGTGACAAGTCGGCGCTACCAGAGCTCGAAGGTGGCGCATTGCTTCCGACGTGATCTCCTAGTCCGACATGCTGTGGTAAGCCTCTCCAGGCTTCGCTATTGTGTATGTCCGAGAAGTAGAAGGCGATTACGAATATGGATCCGAGGAGCGCGAGGAGCGGAATCGCGTTTCTTCGGCTCATGATGTGAAAATAAGGGATGCGCAAGAGGAGTAAAGTCGAGGGTCGGAACAGTTGTCTCCTACACTTTGCAGTGTCAGTCGGCCATATTCACGCGCCCGGTGCTTGTTGTGCTCACGGTGGAGTCGCCGCGCGGCGCGAGAGGTCAGGGAGAAAGATCCGGAGTCAGCAGCCGGCCCCCCTTGGGATAAAGATAACGTTGCAGGATCAATACTGGGGGAACACACAATTGTACAAGACATCGAGGCCGTCACACTTGCGGTCCCCCTCCAAGGGACCGCAATGGCTGGCCACCCTTGACGTAGCTGGAAGTTGACCCCAAAGACGGCCCGCTAACGCCTCCAGGCCTGTCTTACATCCCTGTGTACCAACTCCTAGCCTGCATCGTCGTCCGAGTTAGGGCCGCGAGCGGGTCCCTAGGTAGATCACCAGGAGCAGCTCTAGCATTTAGCCAGGTACAAGCGTTACAAGCATTTCAGCTTGTAAATACATCACCATAAGCAGAGAGAGCGAGAGAAGCGAGTGCAGAGGATCAAAAGCATGCATTATACACTATCTAAATGAGCACTGCCAATCACGTAAAACAAGCCTGAGCCTGAAACCCATCGGGCTGCTACTGCTGCTTACTTTTTGCTGGTTTGTTTGTTTGCTTGTCGACTGATCAAAGGGAGTCGAAGTCATGGAGCCAAGATCATAGTGGCTTATCCATGACCCAAGCAATAAGCAATACGACGATGCAAAACCTAAATCCAAGGTGGAAAAGCAGAACTTCGTAAAAGGTGGACGCATGTCTTCCATACGGTCGACGATCAGGATGGGCGTTGTGTTGTTGAGCAAGACACGCGCGACAAAAAGGGAAGTGACACAAACGAAACTTGGGGGGGGGGAATGCACGCACCTGCAGCTGTACCTTACTGCCAAAACCCAGACACGCAGCATCTGGCCCCGTTTGCGTTGAGCAAACGCGACGCGTCAGCAAGCTATCGTCACGGATTCCGACAGGGCACAAAGAATCGATTGCAAAGCAATCTGCTTGTTCCGGCTATCGATGCATCTTAAGCAAGCGTGACATGTTGGTGCGAAAGATACATTGCGACATATCTGTGATAGTCCAAGGGGGATAATCTTAAGCCCTTTCTAGTTACGGGGTCGGGGGCTGTGCTGGCAAGTCGCGGTCATGGTGGATGATAGTAAGAGTATTTAGACAGTGCTGGTCATGCGGAAGGTGGTGTGGACTGGTTACTGGACGTCCAGGTTGCATCGAGAGGCAGTAGATAGAAGTACAATTTGGTGGCGATCAAGACGACTGGTGCTCCCAAGGGCTATAGACGTCGCCCCGAAAGCATTTACCGAAGTGCTGAACCGTTTCTCCAAGGAAAATACCGAGCCGACCAAGGGCTAGGAAGATGTCGAGCTGCAAGATGGCAGACTGGGGAGAGTGCTACCTTGCGCTGCTGCGAACCATATCGAAGAACTTTTTGTCGACCACTTTCCTTCTGTATGCGTGCGAAAGCCGAATTAAACTGAACCCAGTGAAGTAGCCAAAGGACTACAGAAGTGAAGTGCTGAGAGATAGAGAGGCGCCAAACCGAGGAAGTCATACGAACCCTAACTTAGTACCGCTTGGGTTCTGCCTGGGTCAGCTGGGGAGCTAGCGGTATGAGCGATCGTAGTCACCCTCGTACGAGCGTCCTCCACCACCGCCGCCGTACGCCTCACGCGGGGGAGGAGCATCGTAGGCACCAGCAGCTGGAGGAGGAGGCCTGTCGTAGTAGCCGCCTCCGCCGCCTCCGCCGCGACGGTCATCGCGTCCACTATCCCTACCACCGTCCCTGCCGCCGTAGCTGCGGTCAGAGGCATAGCGGTCAACACCACGGGGACCATAGTCGTCACGACGGCCGCCGCCGCCATAGCCACGATCATCGTACCGTGAGCCACGAGAGCCGTAGTCGTCACGTCGGCCGTATCCGCCGCGGCGGTCATCTGAGTAGCGATCACCGTAGCCGCGAGGGCCGCCTCGTCCACCACGTCCACCGAACTCTGCCAGGCCGTTAGTGCATCACGCAGGAATGGGTTAGAGTAAGCAGACTTACCACGCTTGGGAGGACCGTAGTACTTGCCCGGAGTGGGTGTGCGAGGACGCGCGCGGCGCGCCTTCTCGATGCTCAGTGTGCGACCCTGATGAACCTCGCCCTGTAGACCTTCCTTGGCAGCATCAGCCTGCTCCGACGTGACCATCTTGACGAATCCGAAGCCGCGAGACTCCTTGGTGTGAGGGTCGCGCATGATGTTGCATTGCTCGACCTCGCCGTACTTTTCAAAGAGACGCGTGACCTCGTCCTCGCTGAGCGTGGGATGGATTCCCGTCACGAAGAGGTTGGAGCCCGAGTTGCGGCTCTCATCGTCGTCGTTCCTGCGCTCTGGCGGTGGGCCCCTGCGTTTGTGTTAGCTGAACAGCTTTTCATCTCGCAGCACACGCAGTCACATACCGGCTATCGCGACCTCCAGGCGAGGCACTGCGGGCACGCGCACCGTCGTCGCGACGGTCGCCACGGGGAGACCTGCTGCGGTCGCGCTCATAGCCGCGAGGCTCGTCTGCATGCCAGTCAGCATTCACATTACCAAACCAAAGGGCGGGAGACAAACCGTCGTAGCCGCGCTGTTCGTTTTCGTACTCCATGGTGATGATGGTGTCGTGGGGCGGGAGAGTTGGTGATAGTTGGTTGGTTGAGGAAAGGTGTGTTTGCTGGAGCTGGCGATTTTTTGGGAGCGGCAGGGCTGATCGACGGTAGCCGCGTCTTGGGTTAGTAAGCGTCGCGCTAGTGCTAGCAGCGCGCGGCAAGGGAGTGGAGACGACAAAAACGGGAGATGGGTGAGAGAGCGATTGTGGACGGGGTCAAGGTGTTATTTGTAGCTAAAGGCCGCGTTCGGACAAAGAAACTGCGACCCTACTCCCCCGTTCAACCGACGCAGGTGAAGCCGGCCGATAGGGGCAGCAGCCGACGCCTGGTCGCCCTGTCGGAGCCATCAACGCGCACAAACCATGCTCCTGAGGCGCCGCACCATTTTTGCCCTCAACGCGTGACGTAGCAGGCAGCATTGTTCGCAATAAACTATAACTATATTCAAGTTCACGCAGTCAATGCTGCTCCATTAACTACTCTCCGCGTAACTTCATATAATGCCCATAATCAACCAATTGCTCCCGGCCAACGTGTCCTGCTGAAACGACCCATCGAGATGCCGTAGCTTGGTCTCAGCGGCCAAGCAAACACCATGCGCCAGAAAAGTCCTCGTCTACCCACTTAAGGTAGTTATGTTACAAATGCAAAAGTTAATACAAAGCATGCCACAGAGAGTGCATGTGCAAGAAGGGTATGAAACAAGAAATAAGCATCCTCAATCACCATCCGCGCGACCGCTTCTGTCGCTTACGAGCTACCGCCTTTTTGATTGCAGCCACGTTTGAATCTGGCGTGTCAATTGGCCGCACTGGGTCAGAGTCGGCCAGACCATCCAGTTCGTCATCGTCAAGCTCGCTCAGCTCCTCGCTCATGTCTCGGAGTACCTCGCGGCCCGTGTATCGCTCCTCGTATACTGTGGTTCCGTGTATGTCAAACGTCTCCAGGTACCATGGAACGCCACCGTTACCCAGCGGGTTCAGTAGATTTTTCTCGGATCGAGGGGGAGTCAGCGGCTCAGGACGGCCATTCACCTGAGCAGAAGTTTCTGGCATGACATCGCCTTGGGACTGGCTGTTGGACACATGGAGGGCGTCTTGACCCAGCTGAATAGCGATAGCCGCCTCGTCTGCTGCCTCGTCGTGTGCGTGTGCATATCCAGCATTCTCATCTGGCGTGGGTGCAAGCTGTATCTCATCCGGTTTCTGGACAACCACGTTTGTTTCTTCCTTGTCAACTGCGACTCCCTGTACCTGTATAGAGTTCGTTTGGTCGATTTCCGTCGTCTGTCGAACAGTGCCGTCTTGTAAGTGCACGCTGGGTCTGCGTTGCAGCTTCTGGTTGAGAAGCGTCTCCAGGTCGGGCAACTTCTCGTATGGCCGGCCAGCAAGTTCGGATTCTTTGCGAATCGCCTCCTCGAAATGAGGCTGCAAGACTCTGGTGATGCGTTTGACCACCTTCTTCATCTCCTTCTGCTCGGCTGTCAAGCTGCTGTGGGATACCTTGTTCAGCTGTTCTTCTGCGTCGCCGATATTAGTGACAGCCGCGAAACCAAGTTCAGCACTCAGAACTGCTGCAACATCGTCGTTGAATGTCTGCACAGAGGTGTAGTACTTGTCGTCAAGTTTGACCTGAAGCTTGTTGAACCCTTCGGTAAAGTAACCTCTGCTATCAAGCCTGGATGATTGTTAGTAAGAGTACCATAGGCAAGGGTTGGTAACTTACGCTTGGGCTCGAGCGAGAATGGGCTGTAACAGCTGCGGGATAGGAAAGTAGATGCAGTCAACAATCTGCTGCAGTATTAGGACATCCTTGAGCTTCTCGGCTTCTCTCTGCTTGACCATCTCGCAAAGTACACGGATCTGCTCCATGTCGTCCTCAAGGCGTTCGGCAAACTCGATGCGACGTTGAAGTCGAGGCCTGCCAGCGGCGCCCATTCCTGCAAAGTTACGGCGGGTGATTTCCATGGATGAAAAGGCCTCCATCTGCAGTTGGAGGCGCTTCAGAAGGGCAGCACCACGTCGCGACTCACGCTTCAAGGTCCAATACTTGCAAGCTTCTTGCACGAACTCTTTCCGCTTGCGGACGTTGAACTTGATGAGCGTGTTTTCGACATTATGGTATACGGCCTGGGGGACTACAGGAGCTCCGGATGGCAGTCTCCAGGTCTTTGCGGACCCGCCACGCTTGCGTTTGCTGCCTGGACTCTCGTCGTCTGGCCCTTCAATGGAAGGCATGGCATGCGACGATCCGATAGAGAGAGCATATGCCTGGCTATCTGGCCATCGAATGTGCCGCATAGTGTGTCGGTAGAAGGCCTTGGCGTCTGCTATTGCGCTCTCCACGTCATATTCTCGCTTCCAGTCTGATGGGGTATGTCGGTCGCAGTACGCCTTCAATACAGTCGAGTCAAGCGGATTTGCGGACTGTGACGACTTCATACGTAAGCACAGTCTAGCCCTGCGAGCACAGGTAACATGGAAGGCCTCGAAACAAGACTTGTGCCCGCATTGGATGCATGCGCCCATCTTCTGTTTGCAGATATAACACGACTACTTTTTGTTAGTACAAGGCAACATCAAGGAAGGCGCTGATCTTACCAATTTCCACCGAGTTTTCGGAACCTTTTCAACATCCTGGACTGGCTCCTGAAAGGTTGCATTGCCGAGAGAGACTTCTGGGATCCACATTGCACATAGCAGATGTGCCCACTTCATTGCCGTGGTTTGTTTGAACGCACCGTCAATGTTGGGACAGAATATGCAGCCCTGTTGAAACAGTTAATATAGGGCTAGTAAGATAGACAGGGAAAGAACCTACCGGAAGTTCACTAACGGGAGTACCGCGCCCCACTAACTGACACCGCCTACAGAGCCACTGTCCTTCTGGTATGAATGGTACGCCGTAACACTCTTGATGTACCGCCAAATCGCAGCCGTCACAAAATACTATCGCATTGGTGTTCTCACAGTCGCCATCGTCACAAATGGCACACTTGGTGTCTTGTTCCTCGCCTTGCCCAGCAGGCTCACCATTGACGGCGGCTGCACTGCTGGAACGTGGTCGATGCGTTTGAGGTGGCTTCGGGTTTGGCTTGGGTATGCCTGTCACATGTTAGCCATCGTGTCAGGAATAGATCTGCTGTATGCCGAACTTACGCTTCTCAAGCGCATGCCACTCCTTCTCAATCTGAGTGATGGTGACTTCGAAAATCGCAGGCTTGATGCCTTCTACGCCCTCCTCTTTCCGCTGCATGTTAAGTGCCTCTAGCCATCGATCGTCCTGCTCGTCCATGTCGTACTCGACACGGCCTACAGCAACAGCACCGGCAGGGCCCTCTGCCTCGGTTTGCAGGGTCAAATCTAAATCCTCTTCTATGGAGCCCTCAGGCAGCCGGATCAAACTGTTCTCAGATGGCCGTGTAAAGATCTCGCTCTCCTGGTAGCCGATGTTTGCCATTGTCTTGTCCACATAGTTGACCTTGACGCCCTCGCTCTCCTCGTGCTCTTTGAAGGGATCGACCTGGCGCACTGAGGGTTTAGGCAGGTTCAGCTTCTCCCTCGGATTCATCGTCGGAAGAGGGTTGATTCGCGGTCGCGGAGGCGATCCAAGCCCAGCGAGCATTGAATCCTTGTTGCGTGGTGGTCGGCCTGGACGTCTTTTCGGCGTGACAAATGCGCCTGAGCCGTTGACTGCTAAGTTCGCATCCTCTTGTTCAGCCGTCTCTACCTGCTGTGCCCGCAGGCCATCGAGCACGGCAGAGAGGCCACTGTCAACCGCATATTGGCCGGTAGATGAGCCATTCAGCGGAGTGCCTGAGTCGCTATCGGCAGGGCTCACGCCATCGATCAGGTCTGCCGTGTAGACGGGGAACTCGGCATCAATGTCAAGATCTGGATGGAATTCGTCCCAGGACCTCTCCTCGCGCGGCTTGTAGCCATCGTTTTGAGCCACGGCTGCGGCGACTGCAGCGGCCGAACTGGAACGCGGTCCAGCTGGCGGCCTCTCGCGTCTAGGGCGTGAATATGAAGGTGAGGCGGCAGATATGGACAAGCCTTGTCTCTCGGCGTTGAGACGTCCTACACGGCCGCGAGGACCTGTATACGCGTAGCCCCCGGGGCCAGTGCCTCCTACTGGCGTTTCCAGCCCTTCGTCATCCACGTATCTTCCCCCGCCTCCTGGTCCTCCCGGTATGTACTTGCGCCGCTTGCTGGGAGGTGCCGAGTCAGATATGTGTCGCCGCGGCGGTCGGGTGCTTCTCACGCGTTGTCGTGGAGTGTCGGGAACAGGCGCCATGTAGAGGATGCGGAATGTGTCCAGAAGCCAGCAAGGGTGAAGTTGGGCGTCGCGAAATGACGCGCCCGCGCCTATGCCGTCTGATCGAAGATACAGCAATCGCGTAATCACCGGGCAGCCAAGGTTGTCTCTACCGTGTTCATCGATTCGAGGGCCGGCGATGGGCGGTGTGCAGAGGGGCGTTGGCTGCAAGACGTGCGCGATACTGTGATGCGCCTACTTGGAGGTGCAAGCCGGGGACGTCGCATATAGTTAGCGTGCCAAGCATCAGGTGGGCTGCCTGCATGCCCCCATCTGGTAGTAGTTCGCACCTTCCCGTTCGCTCCAGTTCTCCTGCAGCAATGAACACGCAATGATATCGGCTCTAGCTGCCGGTAGTCCGTCTATCTCGATCGCCAACTACATCCTATTTCGACTTTCCTCCAAGTTTTTGCCCACGTGATCTCATTGCGCACCAACATTCAACCTTGTATGCATGCTTGAATTTATAAAGGAGTTCGGAGTGAGAACGTAACTACAGTACCGAGGTATCTTAGTCTGTGCTGTAGCAAAATCTACCACCCAGATGTTCCATTCTCAGCTTCAGTCAGTCCTGCACAACGATAGACGCACGTGCGCACTTGGATTGCTCTTGTTCAGAGTATTCAAAACCTGCATACTTGTTATCGTGTTTGTCGTCATCACCGATAGTACCACCCAGACTCATACCGATTGCCATAGCAATCAAGTTCGCCTGCCTCTGCATTCACCGGCTTCCGCATAATCGTGATATTCCCGGCCCAGTAACCCTCAACATCGGGATCGACTTCTCCTCTTTGTACCAAGTCACTGTACATAGCCTTCCTTTCTCTTCTGAACTTGCCAATCTCCCCCACTACATCTAGCAAAGGTCTCGTGTCGGGTGTGTCTTCCTTTGGCGCTGTTCTTGACATGGTTTGGCTGGGAGCAAGCTCAAGGCCGCTCATAGCTGCCAAGGGCAGGGAGCGACTGGTCTCGTAGCCCGGCTGCCCACATTCCTCGTCGTCGAAGAAAGAAAAGTCGTGCGTCGCTGCTTCCCAAAATGCTTCTGAATCTGCGTCTTGAGTACTCGACTTTGTGGGATATGCTCGCCAACTGCTAGATATCTTCTTCGGTGCTGCTTGTGGGGGCGCCATCTCCAGTACGATACGTTGGAGTGCAAAGAGGTTTCGTGCATACTCTTCTTCGGCGATTGCACGATTGCGCCCGGGTGGTAGTACATAAGTATGTCTAGCTCGTTGCCGCGCAATCATCTCTTCTTCAGACGCATCCTTGATAAACTGAATGATTCGGTCGATCAGAGATCTGTCCGTAGTGGTTACAGGCACTTCGGTCAAGACAATAGTGTGAAGTTTCCGCAGCATTCCAGGATGCAAGCAATTCTCTTGAGACAGTCGGAAATCCAACCTAGCTATTCGGTCCTCGACGTAGTAGAAGGAATGCGCCCGTGACCTTGCCCTAGAATCTTCTGTTCGTACATCTAGCGTGTTGCTGTCAGATGTAGCAGATAGAGGCGAAAGGCATGCCATTGGATTAGATGCAGCAGTGGCTGGCCCTATTCGATGATTTTTATCGTTTCTATCCACGTCACTTCCTGGAGTGAGAGGTAATGTCACATGGATTGGCTCTGGAGCGTACGCAGGACCTCGGTTGATGCTGCGTAGTTGATCAGGAGCGTTGATTGCAAGACTCGCTCCGGTGCTTATTCCATGCCTGGACATGGTTCCCAATCCCGATGTAGCGAGATCGGATGTTTTGGGAGTTGGAATTGATCCAGGGAGCTCAGCAGCATAGGATGAGTCTCCGGAGACTTCATAGATAGTTGTGAACTGAGAGTCAAGCTCAGGTGTTGATGGCTCAACTGCTTCTAGCTCGTGTGCATCAGAAGGTTTGTAGGTACCCAAATCCCCGCAAAGTTCTCCTCGTGATAATGCACTCGTCATGACGGGGGGCGCATCATCCGTGACGATTTGGTAATTGATTCTGAAGTACTTCAATCTGTGCGACGCATACTTTGAAAGAATGGGAATCAGCTTTGCTACACCGGGCAGCGCTACCTCATCATCTGCAGCTTCCATAGTAGCGCGGGCAGGACTTTTGATAGTGGCAGACAATATACCCGCATCGAGCACCTGCAAGCGGCCTGATCGCAAGAGTCCCGATATGCCTTCTATGGTAATGTTGTTGTTCGAGAGGTAGAGATGTGATATACCATCTCTCGTTTCTTCGATTGAAAGACTGCCTACGAAGCCTTCAGTGAGTTTCTTGCGAAGATGGCTTACGATGTTTTCTGTCTCAAAACAATCCCCTTCATCGCCTGTTTGTTCGAGTTCAACCGGTGGCAAAGGGCCATGAAAGTTGTGTGCTGCAATGACCGTCTCTTTGACACAATACTGGAGTAGGAGCCGTGCGCTAGCATCAGTCAAATCGTTGTCACTGATGTCAAGGCTTCTGACGCGGTTTCCAATCCCAGATACAATAATCGAAAACTCTTCATCCCTCAACCCCAACCCTCTGAGGTTGAGAACGCGCAAATTGCGGAGGTATGTGAGCGTCCGAAGAAAATTCTTGTCTTTTGTAGCTGGTGTCTTTGACAAATCCAGAGAGACAAGATCTGGGAAATGTGGCAATGCTTCCGTAAGGCCTGTTGAGGTAGCGTTTGTACAGCCCGAGGCATCGAGCAAGCGCAAGCTGAACACTGGGAAGATGTTCGGCCGGGTAGACTTCCATCGTAAGCTTGGGTATCGCAGGCTTATAAGAGACGCATGGTCGAAGAATGGAAGGCCATCGACAATCAAGCACTGTAGACGTGGTAGGTATTCGAGGCAGTCACGCAGCCATTCCGCATGTGGCCCATCGTACAGCTCCGCATGCGCTGGGGGGAAATGTAAAGTATGTGTAAGTTCTCGTACAAAGGTACGCACATGCGGCAAAGCACGCTTGAACCTTGTGAGTGCCACTATATATGTGTTAGCAGGTCTGGGGTTAGATTTACCGATTTTCCATACCGTAGACGGTATCATTCTGCACCCCAAAGTGCGAGGCAGGACTTCCCCAAAGATGCCGTGTGAAAATATCGTGCCATTTTCGACACACCAGCGCTGCAGAGCAGAGATCTTTAGAGGTTAGGTAAGGTGCGACGAGTATCCAAGGGTCGCGTTGGATAACGCTTTCGTACGAGGGGAGTAAATCATCCATTGTTCATTTGGCAGGAGCGATTAGTGGGAAACCCGCTCAATGTTATGTGACATAGCCGACCTTGCTACTATGCAGGGTATTGATTGCGACCAGGGAATATGCAGACATTCCCAAGTCTGGACTTCTTATAGTAGGCTGTGTTGTGTGGCAGTGTCGCGGTAAGTCAGTCAGCTCTAACTCAGGCCCCCGATGATGCAACAAACGGTTGGCGGGTTGCGCTAACCACATCGAGCGGCACATGTTGTTCGGCGGCCTTTTGAAATTCCAATCTGCTGTGTGATTGATACAACGTTCCTTGATAACTCCAAATGCTGATGCTATGCTAAGGGTATCTTATTCTACACCAAGGCTATCCTTTCTTAATTGACAACATCCATTATTTCACTCGCAAACTTGCTCCTCGCTCTTATCCGGGGTCCGTATAGAACCAGTATCCACGGTACCACTGTCAGCAACGCACCAATTCCACCTAGAAGACTACTTGCAGGAGCAAACCCAAGACGCGTATACATTTGAGTTGTTATAAGCGGGAAAACACCACCTAAGCTGAAGTCAGTTTGCGTATATATTCGAGAGTGGCAGATGGCTTACCAAGCATGTTTCGGCAAAAGGACTGCGCTGCCAACGCAGAGCTTGCGTAGCGATGGTACGTATCCGCCAGATAATTGAATGTCGCTAGGTAGATGGAAAAGATACCAACGGTAGCAATGCCGATGGCAATAGCTGGCACGATCCAAGGTATTGCTGGGAAGCTCGTCCAGCCAAACATGAAGAGACCAATTGGCATGCAGGCGCTCTCTATACAAGCGAAATAGAGGCGACCTTCTGGCGTGTCCACCAGTTTACCGTTTCGCTTCGCAATCCTCTCTTGATAAATCGAAAGTACAGTAGAGAGAATGCTAGCTATGCTCATAGATGCAAAGACAGCATTAGCTTGTTGCAACGAGAAGCCGTGATTGCTCTGAAAAACCAGCGGAATGGCGGCCAGTGTAAGGTAGAGCACTGCCCAAGAAAACGCCACCCAAAGAGAAAACCAAAACACCACTGGTTCGGTGAACAGGAGATGAAACGGGCGATATAGAGAAACGCCAATCATCGTACCAAGAGAAGCACGCTCTTCATCAGACCGTACTTTCCAGCGCAGCCGTTGTGATAATTTGGAAATGCGTTTCTCATCGCTGGAAACTTCGAAACCGTAGTAACCTGCCGCCTCGCGGGCCTCGTACCATTTGTTTAGACGCCTCGCTTTACGAGATAGAAGAACAGAGCCACGCGTCTCTTTGAACACAACACAGATCAGTGCAACCATCATTCCACATGAGATCGCTTGTACGTAAAATATCCACCTCCATGTCGTGTTCTGTGCAATGAAGCCACAAACCAAAGGTCCAAGGGATGTACCGAACAAGGCGCCGCCGGAGAATAAAGCCATTGGGGTGTTCCGGTCTTGAGCGTGATATATGTCAGATACCACGCCGCCAACCATAGTCGAGAAGGTAGATCCGCCGATACCTAGGAATAATCGTGCGGCGAGCATTCCGCCGTATGATTGTGTAAGACCAGAGCAGAGCTGGCAGACAACGAAAAGAACACCTGAAGCGAGGAAGACAGGTCGGCGGCCGTTGATTTCGGAGAAGGGTGCCAGTACCATGGGCGCAAAGGCAAAACCTGTCGTGAAGATGGTGATACCGACCAACGCGGCAACACTACTTACGCCCCATTCTTGTGTCATCTGATATACGCCTGGACTGTATGCCCCAGCGGAGAATGCGGCGAGGGCAGTAATGACGCATGATATCCACACGGTAAACTTCTTTCTCTTTTCAGACCAGTCAAAGGGGCTGGTGTATTCGACGAGATTCGGGGGCTCGGGAGGTGGCTCTTGGCCGGGTTGCGTCGGATGAATGGTACTTGGATGTGGAAGCTCGGTGTCGAATGTGAGATAATGCCAAACAATTACTGCCTCTCGCAAGTCCTCCTGTAAGTCAAGATGACCAATATCTTCTTCTATCCTACTGTATTCTTCTTTTTCTATTTCGTTGTCAATTTCTCCGGTGGGGGCGTAGCTTCTTGGTCTTTCAGTGGAAGTGGAGCACATTTCCGAGCGTGCTCTTATTCCCGCCTTGCTGCAATCGAATACCCCGAGCTCAGAACCGCCAGGGAGGTTGGTCTCCGGGTTGTGAGACATGGGGAGCCAAGTTTTTCTTTCAGATCGAGAGGCCAAATATCCGTATGAGAAAAAATGCGTTGCATGTGTTTAGAAAGATGGAGACTGGAGATGCAGCTCTAGCGACGATAGCAAAAGATCCAGTCTTGATAGTTTGGCAAGTCGACCATCGCCCGCTAGCTCGCAAGTAGCCGACGCGCGTCTCCATCAGCAAATGGCGGTAGGCTACACCCACTCTTGATCCATTGGGCTGGGCGGACGTTGTTTGTATTGGTCGGGAATAGGACATGGCGCCCATTACTCAGTCCCATTGTGCATAAGGCGTACCGAAGCCGGTAACGTCTTCCGTTGTGATAACCTGCTGGAAATTTGTTTTCCCCGTCCTCTCCGCCATTCTCCAGACCAGAATACGAGGCGGGCGACAGTACACATGTAGAGGGCATGTGGTGGTTGGAAAACACGGTCAACACCTGGCTAAAGCCAAGGCTGAGGCTTTCTAATCGATACGTAATACGTCAAGCGGCCTTGGTTCCAAACTATGTTGCAAACACTGGTATAGACCACGTGAGCCAGCCGATCAGATGCGTCATGCGAGAGCGTGGTGGCTCGTGGTCAAACATAGCTCGCACTCGGACACATGTATGGCTCCCCGAAAGAGGCGGGAACTCCCGAGACTTGTGCCACGCCGAGCACCTTCATCATCGCACATCCTATTACCGATTTTGGAAGTACTGTCCTATATTGTCTGTTGCGGTCAGCGACAGGTGGTGGCTTGAAGGGCTAACATCAAAAGGTGTGTCCTTGGATCCGCGACGAAGATGGTACGCTAAGCTGATTCTAACTTATGTTACGTTGTCTGTTGTGGCAATTATTGATAGAAGGAGTCATGAAGCCACGGATTCGGATATAACATGACGCATTGGTGCCGCACTTAAATAGTCCAGCTATTCAAGACTACAAGACGTATAACGAGAGAATGATGTTGTTGCAAATATTCGTGATTAACGCGCAAAGCAAAGAGCACGAGTAGCTGACAAGGCAAAAGATGACGCCATCCAAAGTGAAAATTGGTTTTCATTCCAGCTCACTCCAGCTGATGAGAAATCATCGAGCTTGGAGCTGACACCAACACGTCGTGCCTCTGTCAACGCTGACGCCGTCCAACCCGTCACCGCCGGAGATGCGGCGTCTCTGATTCGCCTGTTCCCCTAAGGGCCGAATCAATGAACGGCAGAAAAGCGTGATGGAGCAATTGCGCAATGTACGCTAAGCTATTATTGTCGTGTTCGATGGTCGTGAAGGTCCTCAAGAAGACAAAAAGCGCCCCTCAACCCCGCAACATCTTCTCTTCTCACTCAATACGAATAAACACTCCTACCTAGACGCTTGAGATATATTCCAAATACCTAGCGCACGCGCAACCCTCACAACAGACTACATAACAAGGTATGCAGGCTGCATGCGATTGCCCCGCCACCCCTCATGTTCGCGCTTCTGGCTGAACTGACCACGCATAGACCTCACAATGGCCGACCGACCAGAGCCTCTTCGCCTGGGCAGCACTGCCCCTAACTTCAAGGCCGAGACTACCCAAGGTCCCATTGACTTCCACGAGTTCATTGGCGACAACTGGGTCATTCTCTTCTCTCACCCAGAGGTATGCGCGCGCTCCCTACCCACCAACAGGTACGATAATTGCTAACAGCCCTCCAGGACTACACCCCCGTATGCACAACCGAACTAGGAGCCTTCGCAAAGCTCGAGCCTGAGTTTACTCGCCGCGGCGCCAAGCTCATCGGCCTCTCCGCAAACACCGTCGACTCGCACGATGGCTGGATCAAAGACATCAACGAGATCTCTGGCAGCAATCTCAAGTTCCCCATCATCGGCGACAAGGAGCGCAAGGTTGCGCTGGCATACGACATGTGAGTTACCAAAGTCTTGGCAAATCGCGCCATTTGCGACTCATCTGACCGAATTCTGTTAGGATCGACCACCAAGACGCTACCAATGTTGACAGCAAGGGCATTGCTTTCACCATTCGCTCTGTCTTCATCATTGACCCTAAGAAGACTATTCGTCTCATTCTCAGCTATCCTGCTAGCACTGGCCGTAACACTGCTGAGGTTCTTCGTGTGCTTGACAGCCTGCAGACTGGTGACAAGCACCGCATTACCACCCCAATCAACTGGTACGTCTACCCGTTTGCCTTGTCTAAGAAGCAAATGCTAACCTCTTGTAGGGTCCCTGGTGATGATGTCATTGTTCACCCCGCTGTCAACAACGACCAGGCCAAGGAGCTCTTCCCTGACTTCCGCATCGTCAAGCCTTACCTGAGGTTCACACCCCTGCCCAAGGAGAAGACCACTGCTGCGTAAATTGGTCGGATTTAAGGTGTTGAGAGGAACATGGACATGGACGCGAACATCCAATGGATATGACCGCCCAAGTAGAAGTGTCAATATCAGTGAAGGTACATAATTATCCAAAAAAAAATATACCAGATTGAAGCAATCAAAGCATGTCCTGCATGCATACTTTTACGCCGTATCCTAACCTACAGTTTCAACATGTGACCAACTGAGCATGAGATAGATCATAGACAACCGTGCCTACTTACCTACTTCTTAGCGTCAGACTTCAAGCAACATATTGTCAAAAAGCGCCATCTCTTCGTCACGCCTCAAGCACCCCAGCACCAAAACCCCCTTTACCCATAAGCTATATCAGTGTAACAGCCCCCTCCCCCCCATCCCAAACAACAAAGCTTGGAAACCCAAACTCCCCCCGACCACCATCACCACCATCCTTCACGTCTACATGCTTGCGAAACGGATTCGTCGACTTGGACGCAATAGACACCACCGAAGGCGACTCAATCGGCGTCTCTTCACCCCTATCCAGCGAAGGAACATCGTCATCATCTCTATTCAAGACTCCACCACCTCTCAGTCTGCGCTTCCCAGAAGTCTCAGAGCTTGGCACAAGGAACCTCTTCACATCACGGATACCGTAGTGGTTTTCCGATGGCGTGGTAGAGGCATCGTCGCTTTCGGTGTCGAGGCTGGTTTCTCCGCACGTAGTGGGGTTGTAGATTGATGTTGATGTTGATGTGGTTGTTGAAGTTGATGCTAGGGATGAGGCGTATGTGTGACAATATGTAGAGGTAGGTGTTGTCGCTGTCGTCGTGGGTTTAGTGTCGTAATGTGATTGCAAAGGACGGTGTAAGCGCCTGTAATTATTCTCCCGCAAAAGAAAAGAACGTTCTACTAGGGCTTCGATATCGTCCTATATACAATGTGTTAGCGATGAAATGCAGAAGGCTTGATATGATGGCGTGGTAGCGCCACGTACGTAAGATAATCGGCCATCCAAGATGTAGAAGCCCGTTTCATTCAGCTTGAATAGAAAACCCAGTTCGATCAGCGCGTATTTTTCGACCAGGGCGCTGTGGATGGCGATGGATTCGTCCGAGGGCGTTATTGTAGAGGTTGTAAATTGGGGCTTGTAGTCTGCTTGGAAGAAGTACGTGTGTAGGGGTTGGCTGCCGAGGAAGTGGGTTTGGCCTTTGCCTGTTGTGCTTGGTTAGGTATGCAGATGCGCTGGAATGGTAGGGGATACGTACGCGAAGTTCGTGTGTATGTAGGTTTCCACCCGGCTTTTCGCAAACTGAAGAGTAGCTCGCTGCCTAGGCTGAGCATTGGGGATTCCCAGAGTATGGTGCTGTGGACTATCTGCTCCTCATTGGATTCGGCATATGAGTAGGGTATTAGCTGGTCATATGACGAGCTCTCGAGGTCTTGGAAGACGCAGTCAACACCGAATTCTGCGAGGGATCTTTGCAAAGTGGATATTGCAGGCGAATCCCTGTTTGCTTTGGCTGGAAACACGATCAGCTGTTGTGACTTGTTGCTGGTTGTTGAGCTATTCGTAGGCGTTGGTGATCTTCGTGATGATCGCATCGAAGTGACTGAGCTGTGAAAGCTTTCACGACGTCCAGGTCGAGACCGAGCATAGTCACCTTGTCTATCCATATATCTGTCCGATCGGAATTGTGAAGTTTGGAGGTGTCCAAATGAGGGTATTGGCATGAGTGAAGAAGACCCTCGCTTGTCTGCCGTGTATTCTGTAACGTCGATGCTGCGGTTGCCCTCTGAAATACGAGTTCGGCGAACCGTACCCTGGTTGTTTTGATCTGATTCTGATCGCTGCTCTTTGACTACTCGGAGAAGCTCTTCGTAGTGCTCAATTTGCTGCTTGTTAGCATCTTCGATTTTCTTCTTCTCCTCGGCTACTTTGATTGCAGCTTCCTCTCGTGCTCTCTTGTCTGCTTCTGATTGTGCGAACCTCAGTGAAGCTTCTGCTGCTTCTTTAGCGGCTTGAGCTGCAGCTACTTTCTTTTCAACTAATTCCCTTGCTTCTTGAGCTTGCTCTGAAGCTCTGAGGTCCATGATTTTCTTCTCTTCTCTCCACCTGATCTCCATCCTCCGTTGCTCTTCTCTTTGCTCGACAATGAAACTTTCTAGCTGCTCCAATTTCTGTTCATCATGTTTGCGCGCGTGCTGCATTTGTGTAAGCTGTTCCTCGATTATTGCATTTTCGCGTCGCGCCTCGGCCTCTGCATTTGATGTCAAAAGTTGCTCAAGTCTTGCAAATTGAGCGTCAGTTGCAACAGCGTTGTTCTCTTTCTCGTTTTCTTGATGATATATCAATTTTTCCAGTTTAGAAAGAATGCAATCCTCTTTCTCGGCGGTGTCAAAGCCTGTAGGG